ACAAATGAAGTTGAAAATTAATGAAAAAATGAATTTTAAAGAATCGATTATGCTTAGGTGTAATTTTGAAATTTTTCAAAAGGATGGGAAAATATAAAAAAAAAGATTAATGAGAAAAACAATTTCCATTCTTTGTCATATTGATGAAAAACATTAAAAAATACATTACAAACAAAATATTTTATTTTTTGGGATTTTATATAATTTTTTTAGAAATACCTTGCCGATTACTAAAACTAGCCCAAACCAGAACCGATCAGTTCTGATCTAACTGGGCGGTTACCGTTTAGATGACCTGATTTATCCGTCAATGGTACTAGGTCTACACTGCACATGGCAAGCCCACTAAAGTCTACTTTCTTTTATCTTATTGCTCATTAAAGCCACTCTTAAGTTCTCGGGATTATAATCATTTCAGATTCTATCTCTTCTTGTCTTGCCACTTATCCATCTCGCCATCGTCATCTTAGCTACACTCGTCCTATGGTATGTTGTTTCTTCACCGCCCAACAATCTGCTTCATAAAGAAAAACTGGCCTTACAATTGTCCTATAGAACTTTCCCTTCAACTTCATTAGTATGCAGCAATCACATAAAATTTGAATCACACATCTCCACGTCACTCACCTAACTCTAAATCTATGTGTGACACCTTCTTCAATCTCTCCATTTTCCTAAATATCGACTCAAATTATCGAAAGTGAGCTCCTTTTGGTTTTATAGATTATCAATCTTAACTGCTTTCTCATATTTACTCTTGTTATTACTAAACCTGCAGTCTGTATACTTTGTTTAAGTTTGGCTAATTTTAAAATCTTTAGATTTTAGAGCATCCCTCCAAAGTTCTTTGTGATGACATTGCTTTGAGTCTCATCACAATGTTGTTCGTGAACAACATATACCACGATACCTCATATTTTAAGTACCTAGTTAAGTCATATATAATTAAGACAAAAAGATATGGGCTCAACTCAGACCTTGATATGAGCCTATTGTCACTCAACTCATGTGTCTAAAGTAGTTGGTCGCACACTAGTTAGAGCTCCCACCAAGTTAATATAATATCTAAAAACTCTTTTTTTTTTCAATATCCACCAAATTAAATCTCAAGATACTCTATTGAGCTTTATCTAGATCAATAAAAACCATGTGGAGGTCTTTTCCCTTCCCACTAAACTTCTCAATTAGTTGCCTCAGTAGGAAAATAGCCTCAATTGTTGACCTCCCAGTATAAAACTGAATTGGCTTTCTGATTCACTCGTTTCATATCTTAGTTGTCTCTCAATCACTCTCTCTGACTGCTTCATAGTGTGACTCATAAGTTTGATTCATCGATAATTTACATAATTCTTTATGTCTCATTTGTTCTTGTAAACAGGTACCACAATGCTTTTCCTCTATTTGTCTTGCATTTTCTTGTTCTCATCACCTTGTTGAATAGCTTGGTCAACCAGTCAATGTCAGTCTCCCCTATGCACTTCCATACTTCTATCGAGATACCAATCTAGAGACTTTCATATCTTTATCCTATTCAAAGCTTCTTTTACTTCTAATATCCTAATCCTATGAATGTATCTATGACCTTCACTCTCATTTATGTCAATAGTTCCTTCTGCCAATGCGGTCCCATTGTGTTCATCATTTAATAATTTTTAATATAAACTCTTCATCTTAAGTTGACCTCTTCATCATTTACAAAGACTATTTAATCATCACTCTTAATGCATTTAATATGGTCTAGATCTCTATACTTTTTCTCTTTCAGTTTTATTAATTTAAAGACATATTTTTTATCTTTTTTTCTTGATCCCAGTTTACTACATAGATTATTATACGTCTTAAGTTTAACCTTACTTACTATTTGATTAACATTTTTCTTCATATTTTTATATTATTCTAAGTTTTGATCATTTTTGTTACATTGACAAGTTTTATAACATAATAGTTTTTCACTAATGATTTTCTGAACCTCATCACTCCACTACCATGTTTCTTTATTGAAATTTCTTTTTGCTCTAGTTTCTTCAAGAACTTCTTTGCCACTTTCTTAATGCAGTCATCCATCTCATTCCACATAACATTGACGTCATGTTCAAATTTCTATTTCCTTTCTTTAACTAGTTTGTCCTTAAATAAGTTTATTTTCTCATTCGTTTTTATTACATTGGCAAGTCTTGTAACATGATTGTTTTTCACTAAAGGATTTCTGAAACTCATGACTCCGCTACCATGTTCCCTTATTGGAATCTATTTTTCCTCTAGTTTCTCCAAGAACTTCTTTTGCCACTTTCTTACTGCAGTCAAGCATCTCATTCCACATACCTCTGACCTCATATTCAGAGTTCTATTTACTTTCTTTAATTAATTTATCTTTAAATAAGCCTATTTTCTCATTTTCAAATTTATACCACTTAGTTGTTGGGCACCTATTAATTCCACCCATTCTCTTCTATCTTTGTATAAATATTACTATAACCAGTAGCCTATGTAATGTGGTCAAACTCTGTCCTTGGATAATTTATAGCCTTTACATGATAGCCGATCTACCTTTTTAACTAGGAAGAAGTCTATCTTGGTTTTGAATTATCCACTTTTATAAGTTATTAAATGTCCATCTCGCTTTTTTAAATAAGTGGTACTATTGTTAGGTCGTAGGCCATAGCAAAATCTTGAATAGCCTCACCCATCTCATTTCTTTCACCAAACTCGTACATATACCCCTTCATATCCTCAAGTATCTACTATTGTTCCCTGCATGACCATTTAAGTCCCCTTTTAAATAGGTCATAGCTCCACTTAGTATATATATATTGGACTGGTCTATTTATGTCCTCTCAAAATTGTCTATTAATTCTATTCTCTAGTCTTACTCGTAGTGCATAAGCACTAATTATGTTAATTATCTCTTCTTTTAATATAAATTTTAATCAATAGGAGCTTATCACCTTCTTTCTACTATTATATGCCTACACTAGTTCTTATTATTCTTTCCTATATATTAACGTTTATTCCCATGTAGTTCTTTAGTTTTTTTCCCCTTTCTACTTAGAAAAGCTATGTTTACTCTCATTTATCTTAATGTATCCACTAACTCCGTACTCTTATCTATAAGCTCTCCTACATTCCATGTGGATAGCCGAACCCTATCTTATTGGATAGGCTTCTTTAGTTGCACTCGTCTAAAATGCCTTGGAAGCCATTGCCTATTTTTCATCATAATCGGGCGGCAAGGTTTCTGACTCCATTCTCGAATCCCCACTTACATACCACTTTTTAATTACCCAAAAAAAACTACCATTGCCTATTTTTCACCACGACAGGGGCAGTACAATACATTACTTCTAGGGAATACCATAGCTAACTCTTGCTCATTTCTCATTGTAGCCAGTTTCTAGTTCATCGTATCGCATACGGAGAATGCTCTAGTATAAGCAAATAACATAGATTTAGGATTTATAGGATTTATCAAATATTTTTATAAAATTTTATATTGGTTGCTTACTTAATACAAGTCACCTCATTTACCCTTGCTTTCGACATGCAAAGGAAAAATTGATGGTCGTCACCATTCTTAAACCATGAATTTTGACATTTATAAATTTCTCTTATACCAAATAAAGATATCCTCCGCCGATACCCTTTTTACCTCATGTTGACTAGGAGAAACTCTTTATGTCAAATTTTACGTAAAAAAATGAAAAAGATGAGATGAGGGGATTAAGGGGTCCATTGAGTGTTTTAGGGAACATTTTTATTGAAAGAGAAAAACTGGGAGCGGCTATCACAAAATAGTTTGAAAATCGGGGGTACATAGGATATTTTTCTATCTAAAATTGTAATTTTTAGTAAGGGCATGCTTCATCTGGCGCCTTTGGGATGGAAGACACTAGGGTAGGATTTTACCGAAGGGACTTAATGTGCCATATGCCCCCGAAGGAGCACATAGTATTTTGGTCAAGATATTAGTTTGATCCCCGTTCCTTGCTAGCTCCTCGTTTTGGGGACCGGCTTCCTCTCCCTCTTTCTTATCGCGCATGTGAGGTGGCTGGGGTTTCCACCTCTCCTTATCTCTGTGCCCTTTAAGGATACAACCAGATGGCCCTGTATGCTCTCTCTCGCTCTACAGCTTCAACGGGCAGATGGAGAGATTTTTTTTTGGCCGACTGTGCAGAGGGCGATCTGTATCAGCTCTCTTTTCTCCCTTGTGGAGAGAGAGAGAGAGAGAGTTAGGTTTGGATTTGATAAGTTCGAATTTTGCAGGGTTCTGTTCTATATGAAGTGTCGTTTAGGTAAAAAGGATTTCATTTTTGTGAAATTTGTAATCCGTGGTAGTTTAGTAGTTTTTAGTTTTACAATTTATTCAGAAGTGAAGGAAACTGACTGGGAACCGCATGTTGTGAATCATTCGGTATAATTAACGATTAAAAGAAGGAATCGTTTGTAGAAATGTTGCATGTGTTCAAATTTCGTAGAATTTAGTTATGACTTTAAATTGTTTTTTTTTTAAATGATTTGGTGATGATGCATGGCCTTGCCAAAATGAATTGCTTGGTACATTGATTTATTTTTCCGGTCCTTTTTATGCCAATGGTATGCGGAAATTGCCATTAACGAGGGCTTCTCTTACCAACTGACGAGCAAGTGTTAGCTCTTTCCTCCTTGATGTATATTTTGTTACCATTGATGTTTTTCTTAGAGAATAAATTTGCGTGAACTGATTCATGGCACAAATCGTTCTGTAAATTACTAGCTGCCATGATGAGTAAATATCACTTCACTGTAAATTTTATTTTTCGTAGTTCTGTGGTATTTTCTTCGTCTATACATGGTCTTTTAATAGCTTGCATTATCTTTTGGCCTCAATTCGTGCAGCATTATCTTTTAATAGCTTGCATTATCACTTCACTGTAAATTTTATTTTTCGCAGTTCTGTGGTATTTTCTTCGTCTATACATGGTCTTTTAATACCTTGCATCATCATTTGGCCTCAATTCGTGCAGCATGGTGAAGACATTAGAGAGGTACCAAAAATGCAACTATGGAGCATTAGAAACTAATGTACCGACCAGGGAGACACAGGTACCTTTGGTTGCTCTTTGGCCATTGGATGTTATGCTATTCCTCATCGATAGCGATGTTCCTTTTACCCTACTGGTGTTGTGAAACTTTTTTGTGGAGTTATTGGGATTGATATGTCATTTTGGTTTTTAGAATGTATAAGCCGTCTTTGATTCACTTTTTTTTTTAGTCTATTTGTTCTTTCTATAATACTTGATGGTTTAGTATTGATTGGGTCTAGTACTTGGTTGTAGGAATTATATACTTAGGGATGGTTTTCTGGCTTCTATTCCGAAACCTCATTTCATGGATGATTTCTTTATAATACTGACATTCCCTTGTTCTTTCTTATCTTTCTAAGCACTACATTCCCATGCACCAGCTTTGGTTGTATCTCCTACTCCCACTTCTACTCCCGCTCCATGCATCCTTATATTTGTGCGAATGGGTCTGAGCCCTCTAGGGTCTTCAAAAATAGTTGTGAACTGATGAGAGCCAATGAAAAGGCAGCTAAATCGGTAATGTGTTGTATTTGAGAATTGTAACTTTTCAAGTAATTAGGAAATTTGAATTATTGAAAAAAAAAATTAATTAGGCTATTTGATAATAATGTACTAGGAAATGACAATGAAATATGCTCTGGGAATTTCCAATGGCAGTGATGTAGTGCCCGACTAATCCAGCTGCGGAAGGTTGAATCATTGCATGTTTTTCCTCAATAACAGACAAACAAGTCTAAAATCTATTCGGAAGAAAGTTGTGTGAGTAAAAGTGATGCAGATAAAGATTAGGAAAAAAAATCAAATTTTTACTGTTATTATTTTTTAAAATTTTTCTTAGAAATAGGAAGTGCCCTTGGATAATTTAGGTTAGGTGGAAGGGTTTTTGCTGCATGATTTTTAGTTACTAAATAGAGTGTGGCGTGAGTTTCTTTTAGAATAGGTATATCTTTTATTTGATGTGAGGTTTATAAGTTTATCTTGTATTAATGTGGGAATGGGGTTTTGAAGCTTATCTTGTATTAAGTTAGATATGTGGGTTTAGATTTTACTTTGCAGTTATCTTATGGAAAAGTGTAACAAGTAATGAGGGACATTAAGGCGGGTGGGGTGTGAGAGAGAAGAAAGTGAGAGAAAATAGGGAAGAGATATACGTGGTATGTGAAAGAGATAAGGAGATTTTTGAGATTATTTTTTATGAGTTTTTTTTATTTGTTTTTTTGTTTTTTAAGGGAAGAAGTCCTTCATTGCAACAGAGCAGTGAATGAGATTGATTGAGTAAAATTTGGTCTTGTAAAAAGATCGTTTTTGGGGTGGATTCCCTTGCAGATCCTGAGAGAGGGTATATTCTCTTGTTGGGGGTGGATTTCTTTGCAGAGCCTGAGAGAGAGTATATTCTCTCGACTTTTTTTTATTTTTATTTTTATTATTCCGGTTTAGTTTTTTCTCCCTGCATCAAAAAGCTTGCCAGAAATCACAATCAAAGACACTCAACATACTCATTATTGTGTCTTGTCTGTTCCAGGACCAGATCCAAGCTATACAAAATTATAGAAGACTAAATTTTCATAGAAAGAAGTAGGTTGTGCTGGGGAAGGGAGGAGAACTCGTGTATTTAATTCCGCTATGCCAGTGGTTTAGAGCTTTTTGAAACCTTGTTAGAGATTTTCAAAACTTGTATCGGACACTATGTCGCACCCTGCCTGAGTTAATATACACAAATTAATAATTTAAAAGGCAATTATCATTCCAAAATCTATTTGCAACCATAAAATGATGTTCCCTATTATGAATCAACTTTCTGAAAGATGAGGCAATGACATGATTTCTTGCTGTTTAGTTTATGCAATGCATCATGCAATAATAATTTGATTGTCGTCTCAAGTTTCTCTGGTAGAGCGGTCTAATTCTAAGTAAAATCATGCGTAGAAGTCGAAGAAACTGCTCATACTTCCTGGATATGTAAATCATCATGCAGAGTTGCAGACTATGTCAAATTAGACCAAAATTTACTGGATATGTTCTGATTGCCCTAATGCTTTCTCCGATGGCTTATGCGGTGCTGGAGTCTAGAGAAACAAAAATGAAACCTATAGCTTCCAGCAAATGATCAGAACATACTCCTTAAATTAGATAGGTTCTATTGGCTTTTCCTTGTTTCCCCAAAAGTTATGCTGGCTGTAAGTTAGTCTTCCTAAAGAATATGCTTTTACATTGCTAGTCTAATCAATCTTCGTCGTCAAATGGTGTGGCTGTTCATTTGCAAACTTTTCAACTTAACTCAGGATTATAAATATATCTTTCAGGGGAAAGATCATGAAAATTATGAAGAACATTTTGGTTTTATCCATGATAAACTGCTTGAAATATCACATCATTTTGTTTAGCTACTTTGATATATATAATATTGAAGTATCATTAGTGATAGTTCCCCCTGCTTTTAAATTTTTTGTTCTATGATTTTCTTAGAATGTATTTATGCACACCCATATACTTTTTGGATATTCCTTCATTCATAGCAACAAATGAAAAATCCTAAGCCATGCAGAAGTTGACTGTGTTTCTTCCTTGTTTCTGTGTGTTTTGTTGATAAGAAACCCTCATGTTTTTGCTCTTATTCTGGTGGGAACCATAGGTTGTCCTCATCATTTACATAAATCATTGTAAATGATATGATAATTTTAGAGAGATCCTGCAGAAAAGACTCACTCTTTGATGGAACTTTAACAGAGCAGCTATCAAGAATATTTAAAGCTGAAAGCGAGGGTGGAGTCTCTACAACGATCCCAGAGGTAAAGACACGAAACTAATTTGCATAAAATGTTTCTTCTATATTATTTCATACTATTTATTTATGCATTATTGGATCATTGGACCTGTAGGAACCTTCTTGGTGAAGACTTGGGCCCCTTAAGTTCAAAAGAGCTTGAACAACTTGAGCAGCAACTGGAGATGTCTTTGAAGCAGATAAGGTCTACTAAGGTAATGCAACCAACAAAACCACAAAACTTATCTGGGCATTATCTCATAGTGAAATAGTACTCTTAGTGTCTTGAGTAAATACCTAGAAGTGCACTCAAGAAGTGTGAGGGAATGGTCACTTTTAAGTGTGAGGAACATAACGCCTCAGCTGTGGTAAACGTTGTTTTAGTAATCTATTTTCTGGCCTATGCAATGTAGTGAACATAATTTTTGGGTGGAGCAGGTCTCTTGACTTCATATGTTTCATTGTTGGCCTGAACCACAAAATGAAGACGCATGCCCATTGCTATTGAATATCTATAATAGCAGTAAAAAACTTCAAGCCTCGAGTTTGAAGTTCTCCTATATGAAAGGCTTCATGGCAGCCTAGAGAGTATTTACCATGAGCTGAAGAAATTCCAGTATGAAACAATGGGAAACAGTAGTTGCTTCCAGGGCTTCTGAGATGACACTGAGAGCAGCTGAATACTACTGATAGTGGTGAAGAAATTGCAATGTCATTCTTAAAATTCTTGATTCTTTCAAAGATATTGTTTTATCCATAATTAAGTTATTTGACGTAACTTCCTTGGCTTCCTAATCCAGTAATCCATTTAACTCGTTAGACAAGGTTCTGCTTTTATGGATGTTGATAGATAAAAATTCTGATGCTCTAAACAGGGTAGAAATTTCTTATCAAACATCACAAAGTATGTATTCTATATGGATTTTTTAATTACTTGAAATATTAAGACTATGTTTTATGCTTTGAAATGCCTCCACTCAGCAGGACCACTTTTTGATTTATTTTTGTACCAAAGTACACAGAATTTAAATACGAGGACTACTTTTAGTTGAGCACCTCATCTGTTACTTGACCTCTCTCAAGAAACACCAAACTTATCTAAGGCATTGGCAACCTTATTAGCCTATTCACGAATTAGATTTTCTGTTGTAGATGTATAACTTTGTTTTCTTTATTTACATGTTCTGCCTTGGGGTCTCATATGTTACTGAAACCTAGGTGGGTTTCGTTTCTTTAGAGTGTTTTTATCAGACGCAAGTGCACCAATCACATTGTAACCTGTGTTCTTCATTTCATTTAGTGATTAGAGGGATATGCAGTGTACCATGTGTTTAATTTTAAATGCATTGTGCTCTGTCAATTTGAATTTGTATGAAACTTGTATTTTGGCGTCGTAGTTTTGGAGCTTTTTTTTTTTGTTGAAAGTTAGTTTTGGAGTTTATTAAAAAATTCAATTGGGACAGATCACCTTGGAAGCCTTATAGTTCTCTGCCGTAAATAAATATTTAACCAATTTGAATGTTCCAAAAGAAAAATCATCTGCTTTAATATCTTCCTTAATCCTTTGAAGGCTACATATATTGCAAAAACTTTAATGGCTACTTATGAGATTGAAATGAAATTGCAACATTCATGTAAAACAAGTTTACTATACTTGCAGGTCTAAGATCTTCTGTTGAACAATATTCCATTCTGAGCATTAGACCCTAGTGATGTGCACTTGGCAAGGGCACTAGTCGTTATCCATTTAGATTGTTGTACACTTGTCTTCTTCGGTCTTATCATCCTCGGAAACCTCTACCTTTCTCCTATTAAGTTTAAGCAATATTTATTTTGTTAAAAAGCATTCAACTATATTTCTTCTGCAAGTATTTGTGGTGGGGATTCTATCCCTCTTATACCTTTTGTTTTTAGGGTATCTTTTGTTTGTAGGGTAGAGCAATTCCTATTGGAACGAATATCCAACTCTCTTTACTTCTGGTTAGTTCCATAATGAAACTAAAAATAGGCTAGAGAAATGGAGAATACCTTCTTTTCTTTTTCTTGTATACGCACAAGCCAGTGACTAATTTAGACTTTAGAATATACACAGGAAATAATTAGTAGGAGAGACTGTTATTTTCTATTTCTTTTGGTCTCTTAATGCTATATGGCTTTCTTACTGCATCCTTGTTTTCCTTGCAGACACAATGCATGTTTGATCAACTTGCTGACCTTAGGAGGAGGGTAATGTGCCCCAAATTTTACTGTGTTGGCACTTATTATTCTTTATGTTGTCCTTTTCAATTTCTTGGTTCCTGTGCAGGAACTAGCTCTCCAAGAGACCAACAAAGCTTTGAAACGTAAGGTATGAAGTAACCTATCTTATGTTGACGTCTTCTGTTACAAGTTCTTCTGTTTTCTCTTTTTTCATTCCTTCTCATATGGATAACTTTTGTCACATATGCCTGCTTTTAGAGGTAAGAATATGCACCCAAAAGTGTGTTCTTAGTGTAACTAACTGAATGGGATAAAAGGGGAGGATTACTAAAATCAGTATGCATTCAGTGAACTGCACTTCCAAATACATTGTGGGCTTTCGTTTTTGAATTTGAAATATCTCAACTGAAAAAAGTATCAGTTATTTAATGTCTTTTCTATATTTATGAGTTACTTTTTACCCAATATTTCATAATAGGACAGCATTACATGTAAGCTTCCTGAAGATTCAACAGGCCAACCATTGAGGCAGTTGCTTTTAAGTTATTTTATTATTGGGCATAGTTTTGTTTGATGGAAAAAGTTTGAACCTAATGTACATTTTCATGGTAGTGGCCATTGATTAACCTCCACCTATGTCTTCAAGTGACCTGCAAAATTCCCTGGCAAATTTTCATGAACAGGCTGGTAGTTAACGAATGATATTTACATCTTGTGAACACAGTGAGAACTAGGTTGAGAGTTGGCCCGATCAAAATTTTAAAACTTAGAACTCCATTGACTTTGTCAAATGAACTGGTACTTTCAAATTTTCAAATGCTCAATAGTGTTGATTAAGAAACTTTTTCTCCTTATTCGAAATTCCAAGATGCTAATTTGGGTTCTCAGAGATTCCCAGAGTCTTTAGTTTTGTTCGTTTTCTTTCATATGATTAGTATTTTGCAATGAAATAGTAAATGATGAGCCGTTTCATCTCTGGCAGTTGGAGGGAGCAAGCGCTTCAAACCCCCCACAACTTGCATGGGAAAACAATGGACAGAACATTCATTATAATCGCCAACCAGCTCATACTGAAGGCTTCTTCCATCCCCTGGAATGTGATTCGACATTGCAAATTGGGTAAATCATAGATATAACATGCAGGAGAGAGAGAGAATAAGAGAGACCGAGAGAGAATTGGTTTTCCTTACGTTGTTTGCATGTCTTTCATTATCCAGATACCATCCATCGTGCCCTGATCAGATGCCTGTGGCCGCACCTGTGCAGAATGTCAATGCATTTCTCCCTGGTTGGTTAGTATGAAGTATTAGCGAGTTTCCTTTTCTTGAAGTTTTTAGTACTGAATCTATGTAAATCATAAAATGGCCAATGGCTTGCCAGATGTTTTCTATCTCCTCTAGGTCTTATTTCTCTAAGGTCGGACTGAGGCATGCCTTGTAACTATATGTTTGGGAAAACAATAAGTAATTATTGTCTTATTCAAAAGATGGCAAGTGATATGCTGAAACTGTGGTGACTGAACTGTATTTCTTATGTACTTTTTACTTCAAAATATTCAATGTCCATTTAGAGAAGTATTAAATTATTATGTTGCTATTATGTTTCAGAGATAAAAGCCTTATTTATATCAGGACACTGTTTATTGGGTCGGTTGATTCATATGTAGACATGCGCCCTCTGCATGATTTATTTTTTAGATAGATTTTGAACCCCATTTTTTAGGAATATATAATCTCTAGCATGGCGATCATTAATCTGTAAAAAAAATTAAATTAAATTAAATTGAAAATGACATTTTGTTTTGGAGAAAAATTTTAGGCCATGGATTTTATCTTTTCATGGTACTACCATCTTTTTTACATCCATCCTTAGGATGGATGTTTCATGCGTCAGGGGATGATGTTTCACCTGAGGCACAATACACTTTTCCTTTACATAATTGTACGTCTTGAGTGAGAGAGACTCAATGGTCTTAACATTTGAAGTGAAGGGCTTTTCCCCGTTTTCCTACCCTTGATTTTCAAGTTTCCATGATGCTGTATCTTTTTCGGCCTGGATAAGTGGTGTTTAATGGACAAAGGGGAATTTGGGTACTCTCTTCAAGTCGCAAGGAATGTAGCCATATGTCTCACTTGCTGATTGATGAGTTATTTAGCGCATGTGTTTAAAAAATTGAAATTGGTGGTTGACTCTGTTACTGAAAGATCCTCTGTTCTCACCGTGATAGTGACCTGGCGAAACTTTTTTTGAGTTCTTTAAATTTTTTATTTTTTGTTTGGTAGATTAGTTTGAATAGGGGCTTATCCATTTCTAGAAATAGTTAGTGGTTTTCGAATGAGTCAGTAGAAATAGAAATCTAGACCGATACTGCTACCTCATCATCACGGAAACTTATTTGAGTTTTTCAAATTTTCGTGTGAAAGATTTGAGGTTATTCGTATGTTAGACGAGTAGAATCTATCTTACTGAGTTTTTGTCACTTCACTTGGAAATGAGTTTGGAAATGAGTTTTTCCTCAACTGGTTCGGGATGGTCTACATAACTTTATAAACGTGCTTTGGCGTGTTTGGGTGGCATTTGAGGTGGCGACGCGGTCATCCAATGCACACACTCTCTTAGTTCTCTATCTTTACTGATTTCTTCGCAAAATGGGTTTTCTCCTTGCGAATTCCTATTTTAGATCGGCGATTTCCAATCCTGATCACCGGTTTTGAACCATTAATATCATGCTCATTAGCAAACTATCCTCTACATGATTAAAACGTGGACACGGTTTTTATGCGGTCAGTCTGCATATTGTAGAAATGTAGGCTTTTTTAGAGCATATATAATCTTTAACATGGAGATCATGAATATGAAAAAATTAATAAATTTTTAAAATTAAAACTAATGATTCTAATAAGAAAACATTTAGACCGGTAATTTCCATTGTGTTTGGATGGAATACCTATTTACATGGTAGTTTCCATTGTGTTTGGATGGAACACCTATTTACATGAGACGTGAAATGCTAATGTCAACTAGTGTTATCGGATAGACGTTGGGTCATGTGGCGATACTTGGGACATGTGGACACTTAACATATTCCGGACACATGATCATTGACATCATTATTTTTTTGGAATTGTCTATCATCAGGTCATTTATTTTTGGAAAAATTACCTTATAATATAGAACGACGGATGCCTCTAAAAAATCCATCGAGAAAGGTAGTTTTAATGTTGAAAAACCTTTTGATTGATCATCTCGATATCTAGATGTATAGCTATGAAAAATAAAAAGATTTTAAGTCTCAGAAATTGTGCATTTTACAACATATTATCTACACCGTCCATTTTCAAGATTTTCATATGATTATAGATTTCCTTGATTTTAACCATTTTTGAAATTTAAAATTTTATAATTAGATATAAAAATAGATTTTGAGGTAATCCTAATAACATTTTACATCAAAACTATATATCATGATAAAATTTGAAGGACACTTTACCTCTACATTTATAGAGGCGTCCATATGGAAACTGTACTTTTTATTTTTAGTACAAGGAAATCACAATTATTTTTAGCCATTGGATATAAAATTCAATAGATAAAAGTACGTTATAACATTCGAAAATTTTATTTTAGATTTTGTACCCAAACACTGACATATCTTCAACCACCTAATTTCAAATTTAACAATTAATGGTGTCCTTACTTCAAAAGTAAATGGTCTCATAGTATACATTCCCTAGTATGGTTTTGATACTTCAAATAAACATTTCATGTAATTTTTAGCCATGTGGCACTAAATGTTCACATTGTAGAGCTTGCATCTGCTCTTTGGGGAGTCCATGGTTCAATTCAATGACTTGCAATCTTCCCTGTGCCCGCCGTCTTAATTTTCTCTATTTTTAACAATAAAAAGGTCTACTTATCTTTCCATTCTTTTCTTTTCTTTACTTTTTCTTCTTTTTTTTTTTCTTTTTTTTATTTTTTTATTTTTTATTATTAACAATAAGAAGATGTACTTTATTTGCTCTCAGCGCTGAGAATGGAACCTCTCTTTTAACTCTCGCATACGGTGACAACCATAGTTAGCAAAGCGTCGTTTAAACGGAGTTTTTTTAAAAAAATAGGCGTTTTTATAGAAACAATTTTAAACGGTAATTTTTTGAAAAGGTCGGCAAAAAATTGTGTAGTTTTCATAGAAACATTTTTTTCATAATATGATTTAAATCCAGCCAAAAAATCGTATATTTTTTTACCTACAATTTTTTTTTGAAAGATAAAATTTGTTTCCTTCCTGTTTTGTGTATTGCAGCCATTGTTATTTTCATGCTTTTGAAAAAAATATTATTTAAAAAAAAACCTAAAATAGAAATTTTTATCCCCACTGTGTTCTTCAAAGCAATAGTTATAAATTGAAGGTATGAACTTTTTTCCTTTTGTTTAAAAAACTTAAACAATGCAGATATCAATTGTTATTATGAAAAATTAATGTGCAAATGAAATACTGTTTATAGCAAACCATTTTGTAAAGTAAATCATTGTTTAAAAAAAATCACATACATGCAGATTTATGTGATTACTTGGGATAATTGTTTTTATGAAAATATTGTTTATGTGCTCAAAACATAGTCTTTTACTAATGAATGAGAAGCAGAGAGTGTGACTACAACACCAAATATGATATATTTTGTTTTTGATTATGTGATAACAAAGATAAACAACATAGTGTAAAGTGTAAACTTATAGGAGCAAGCAATTGTACATATAGGATTAGTTCCCCATAATCCTTTAGCTCTGCTTGCTGTTTTCCCATGAAAATGAAAAACCCTCTTCTTTTTCTCTCTCTAAAAATCAATTTGGACCTCTTCACAAACGAGTATAGTTAGGGCTTTCTCTCAAACCACATCCCAAATGAGGGAGAAAAACCCTCTGCAAACTATCCCAAATCAACATCTCATCTTCTTTTTCTCTCTCTAAAAATCAGTTAGGGCCTCTTCTATTAGGGTTTGTGAAGCCGATAACCTCTTTCTTCTTCCTTCTTCATTCACTATAAACCGTAAACACAGAGATGTTAAACCCAAATTTGTACGAGCTTCTTTTCAATTAAAGAAATTTATAAAACTTGAACCATAGTTATGGAGTGACCATGGTCACCATACCATAGTTAAATCATTGTAATAAGAAAACAAAAATCATGTATTGTTTTTTTGGTTCATGTTAAGTAGGTGTGATGTTTAAGTATTTAATGTAATAAATTTATATATTATATTTGT